CAGAAAGAGCTGAAACACTATATATGTAAAATTAATAACAAGTTTCCCTTTAGATTTTGCCAGCCAGCCCAGATGTTTTCAAGATTATTGGTAAAGTTTTTAAGTGTTCTGATGAATTAACTTCCGTCAGCAGCTCCTGATGTATAGGCAGTCATTCGCAGCCATCCGAAGTGGTATTGCTTCTCAAGACTTGAAAGACATCTCATTAAGAAAGAGTCCTCCACCAGATTCCAAGCTGTACACAGTGGCAACAATACTAATTAACACCCACCCTTCATGTTTTCTTTATCCATATGCTTGTTGACCGGGCAGAATTCCAAATGCCCTTCCAAGTGAGAGGCTGATTATGCTGGCCACAGTTAGTCACAGAACAAGCAGACTTCACACAATTTCTCCAGACCATGTTATGAATGATAATTTATACTCAACATGCCTAGTGTGCATATAGTGAGTCACCTCAGGAACAGAACATGAGTATTGGACCAGTTTATACTAAGGTTTTGGATGAACAAATATTCCCACTGAGGACTAGCAAACTCCATGCCAAATTTAACCAGAGTCTCTAGAGGCAAAGAGTTGTTGCTTAAACCAGATGTACAGCTGTGACATTCAAAGAGGCCAACAAATATAAAATTTATCCAATGCACACTCTAAGTGATAGTTTACATAACCAAAAATAATTTCTATAAAAATGTTATGAAGTTCTTTGAGTAAAATATTTTTCATTTCCATTATTCACACATTTCTAATTAAAACTGAACCACAAATAACAAAATAATCAAGGGAAGTATGTTTTGTGGTAGATATTCCTGGGCTTTTAGTGTTTCCTAAACCATGACCTAATGGCCTCACATGTTGAGCATTATCAACTCTCTAAGTCAAAGGCAGTTGAACACAGCAAAATCTGCCCTAGTTTGATAGTTTTCATAAATTAATTTATAATTGGCTTCCCCTCATTAGGGCATATTAGTGAGTTTCTACTTAGCTATTTTAAAATTTTCATGTTTCTGCCCTATGCAGTTGTTTGTTTGGTTGCTCTTTTCCCTTCAACAACCTGTGAAATAAGGGTTGGTCAGCCAACACAAAAATGTGAAATGTTTTAATCACAGTAGTTGGAAGTATTTCAGCCAGCTACTCTTTTTTTCCATCTCTAATGGGTTTGAGAAATCCGGTACCTGGCTTGTGTGAGAAAAACGATAACAACAAAAAATTACACAGGGGAAAAAAAACCCACAACCCACCCAACTTCTTGAATCCATTTATCATCCCTAAAAGTGTCATCCTACTGTGCACCAAAAAGGATGGAAGGAAGATGCACACCTGCTGAGTGAAGCAAGCTGACTGCATAGGTACAGGGACAGCAGCTGCAGAGAGAATAATGTGCACCAATTTAATCAGTGGCTCCTACCCCCAAATCAGCTTTTACTGGAGCAGGATTTGGACATTATACATATGACCTTGCACTTATCTCTTTCCATGTGGGAGCTCAATATCCAAAAAGCCTACTTGGGGCGTGCAGACTGAACATGTCTACTATAATGTTATTCTGTCCTAATCCACAATATGGTAATGAGATGTTCACTTGACACTGATATGGACAATCAGTATTTCTGTTATAAGCAGCAGTACTGTTGGTTATGCTCCATCACCTGCCTCCCAGGACAGCAAGCAGCCATACCCTATGCAGAGGAGATCCTATACATGTTATGGCTTTCCTAACAATTTTCCTCCTCTAGTCCCATGCAGGGTCAAGCCCAAGGATGGTAACAAGAAATTGCACTGGCACAAACTGTGTGGAGAGTGGAAAAAGACAAGAGCAAGGATGCGTGGCCTGCCTCTCTTGACCTATTCTTAGTGGTGGAGGGCAGAAAGGGCTGAATTACTGTATCAGATGTAAAATGCAGGACAATGTAGCACTTTAAAGACTAACAAGATGGTTTATTAGATGATGAGCTTTCGTGGGCCAGACCCACTTCCTCAGATCAAATAGTGGAAGAAAGTAGTCACAACCATATATACCAAAGGATACAATTAAAAAAATGAACAAATATGAAAAGGACAAATCACATTGCAGAACAGGAGGGGGATGCGGGGGAGGGGGGGGGAAGGAAGGAAGGTAAGTGTCTGTGAATTGATGATATTAGAGGTAGGGAGAGTGGGATGTTTGTGAGTTAATGGTATTAGAGGTGATAATGGGGGAAACTGTCTTGGTAATGGTAGCAGAGTCTGCCATCAGGACTCCTAAATTATGCAGGATTGCATGTGCACTCTTGTACAGGTTAGGTCCTCTGCATAGCAACTGCCTCATCCTACAGTCCCTTTATTGCTCCCCTCAAAACACTGCTCCATCTCCTTCTAATTCATGCTAATGCATTCGACACAGTCCCAAATGGCTTTCCCTTTGTGGAGGTTCTAAGTCCCACAAGCCTGGTATTCCTCTGTATAAGTGCAAATACTGAGCACTGGGTATATATTTTCTCTTTGTACCTGACAGAACTGTTGCAATAAAACTGAAGATCACGGAATCATTTTATAATTGCCATATAATCCAGGGCAGCTCTGCCACTGAAAATAGACAGAGAGAAGTGGTTTGCTTTATAACTTATTCTAATGTGCTGAACAATGAAAAAGACCTATGATCTTTTGACCTGTAAGGACCCATAACCCTCCAAATAAGTGCCATGTACTGTGTTTTGTTTTGTTCCTGAATGTTTCTTTCTTACTTAAATGTTACTTTCAGGGTTTTCTTTAGTTGCTTCATTCAAACAATCTACAACAGCTAGAGAAACTATAGCAAAGCAAAATAAAAATAATTCTTTTCAGCATGAATATTATTTAACATACTTAACGCCATCTGCATGATCCAAAGAGCATTGATGTCAGTGGGTTTGGGATCTAGCCTCTACTGTGCAACATATAAGTGTCTGGATAGGAAGACAGTAGTACTTACACGACCTCCTTTTTCAGGGAAACACTGACACCCCCCACTACAGTCTCTTCCTCCACATGGTCCCGTGTAAGATTTTCCACCCTGAAAACAGAATAAATGTAAATATGTTAAATAATATCGGCTACAGTACATAGGAGACAACAGTAAAACATCAGAATGCAGTGGACCATTCTATACCTGGTATTAACTGTTATTGTATTGTCAAGGCATATACACTATGTTTTATTGCATGCAATAATTTAATTTCCCAAAACAAACACATTTATTATGAGGTGCTCTTGGCTCTCATATGTTTATGTTCCTTTTTTAGTTTTAGGGCATAAAAGATTTAAATTAATTTGGATCCAAAGTTTTCCCACAGTTTTATGAAACCTGGTAGCTAAAATGAAAAAAAGTGTCCTATTTAAAATGTGGTGGCTTCAGCTTCCTAAAAAAATTTCATCTTTGTTTCAGAAAATAATCTCCCAGACAAAGTACTCCTCTACGTTATTCACTGCACTCTGCACCAAATGAGAAAGGAAAATACATTTAGATTATACCATACAGGAGTGACTAATTCATGTCCATTTTTTAATCATTAACATTTTGCTCATGTCTGTTCATATTTTAGATGATTGACCACCCAGAGACAAACTCACAAGATTACCTGATATATGTGCTTACTTTAAAAAATAATCTATGTTTCTATGTGACTATCCTGCTATAGATGGAATGTGTGCTTCCCTGTTAGCTCATGAGATTTCACTGAGGCTACGTCTACACTGCGAGATCTTCCGGCAAAAAAATATGGTAACGAGGGACTCATTTGCATGAGTCACTATCTCATTAGCATATTTTCCGCTGTTTCTTTTCGCACAAGGGGTTTTTGCGCAAAAAGGAGCAGTGTGGATGTAGAGAGGCAGCAAGGGAGGGGAGCACAAGCCAGGGCTGGGGGGAGCCAGCTTAAAAGCTGGTCCCCCCTCCCAACACTGTCTCTGCGGGGGAGGGGGGGAGGGCAGGAGAAGCAGGGGCCAGTGGGGAAGTGGCACAAGAAGGGTTTGAAACAGTCCCACTCATGCTGGTCCCACTACTGCTCCTCTCTGGTAGGAATATACAAGAGACCCCGGCAGCTCTTGTACACTTCAAAGGAAGAGGCACAGAGGGGAACCCGTGCCAGTAGGGACTGCTTTGTTCCCTGCTGGCATGGGTTCCGTCCGCTTCTCTTCCTTTGAAATGTTCAGGAGCTGCTGTGGTACCTGTACATTTTAAAGGGAGAGGCGCAGTGGGATAGTGAGCACCCACCTTGTCGACTAATCAAGTAGTCGACGGAAATTCCATTAACTATTTGATTAGCTGACTAATCGAAATTTAGCATCCCTATCCCGCAGAGCTGCCTGCTCCATACCTCCCCCTGCACTGCTGTCTCTGCATCAGAGGCATCGGGAGAGCGACAGGTGGGAGCCCATCCGTGTGAGGAGCTGGCTCCCTGGAGCTGCTGTCTTACTGTCTTACAGAGGCAACGGTGGGGGGAGGGGTTAGATGGGAGACAACTTAAAATCTGGCTCCCCATGAGCACCAGCTCCCGTGGAGTTGCCTGTCCCTCAACCCCAGCACTGCTGCTGGTACACAAAGGAAACAGCTTTTAGATAAACTTCTATCAGAGATGATCTATGTGGTGCTTGGTCCTGCCATGAGGGCAGGGGACTGGACTCGATGACCTCTCGAGGTCCTTTCCAATTCTAGTGTTCTATGATTCTATGAGTATGTGATTTGCAGGTTGATGTTTTTGAATATTCTTCAACTCTACCATGAGCTTTTATTGGGCTATTCACGTGTAAGGGCTCTGTGTGAGTAAGGACTGCAATATCAGAGAAGTAATGATAGACTGGAGTTATGGACTGAGTTAATATGTAAATAGTGTGCCACCCTAAATTGGGACACTTCAGATATTCATGGGCCAGTGAGCCCAGGAGAAAGGAGGTCTGATGTTGCAGTGAGGCACCAACCCGCCTCCATCAGCTGCTGCAGTGGGAAGGGGTGGAGGTCTGTAGGAGTGGAGCCTGGTGGCAGGGCGATTGGCGGTGCAGCCGGGAACCCCAGCTGGGGAGCTCCGGCCCTGGGGAAGACGAGATTGGGCTGGCAGCAGCAGGGTTGGAGGCGAACCTAGAGTTTGGGGCCTGGAGCCAGAGCATGGCTGCAAACCCAGAGGCAGTGGGGCTAGGGCCAGAGCCTGAGCCCAAGCCTGGCAGCAGCAGGTCCAGGGTGCAGGCCAGAAGGAGCTGACAGCAGGCAAGGACAGCAGGCTGGGAGATGGGAGGCAAAGGACCTCCCCTGATCTGGCAGCACCCTCATTCAGGAGCAGTTGGGTCCCGAGAGTGCCACCACAAAAATAATTTCCATGATATGTTAAAGATAGTTTTAAAACAAGTCATGTGGTGTTACAGTGATCTTTTCCTTTACCCTATGCAAACCAAGGAGTGAAATTATGTTAGAATGTGTTATTATCTTTGTAAGTGCACGTGATTCCTACAACTGCCAATGGGAGTTACACATGTGTTTGGAGAGGACAAGAGAGGTTATGCAGAGACGGGCTATCTAGGCTAGTGAGGAGAGATAGAATGGCTCTTTTTCATGTCAGTGGGCCACAAGATTGTAGTAACCAAAACAATCTCCTGGGATACCATAGTATTGCTAACTGCACTTGTATACCTAGAATTTGCAGGGTGTGCTGATTAAACTGTAGCAGCACTTTGTGTGGATCCAGAAGTAGCACACAGCTCTCACAGAGTACTCTACACAACAGCGTTATTTTGGAATAACTGACATTATTCCGAAATAACAATGAGCGTGTCTATAATACAAGCCATTATTTTCAAAATAATGTTGAGATGGAGGACATCTTACTCCAAGTCCTGTAATCCTCATTTCACAAGGAGTAAAGGAAGTCGAAGGAAGAGTGTTCTTCCTTTGACTTCCTGCTGTGTAGACAGCGCCAGAAGCTGAATTAAGCTATTTCGACTTCAGCAAATGACATGCCTGAAGATGAGTAGCTTAATTCAATTTTGCCTCCAGAACCTATATGAGCTGCATGCAGTCCATGATCCACAGGTTGTCCACCACTGAGTTAATTAATGTATAACATTTTGCTGCATATGAGAGAATTTACCATTTATGTGCAAACAAGAGAGAATGAAACTGCCATTCATGTCTGTGAACGTCTTGCATAAAACATTAACATATTTAATATTAATAAAATGTATATAAAATGCAAATTTAAGGCTCATGTGTCCCAAAACAATGAATATTTTGTCCTCTGTTCTCACAAAATTTTGGTCCCAAAGACAATGATGCCCAGTACACATCCAGACAACAAAAGGCAATTGTCTGCAGAGAATTTAGAGAGAATTTCAGTTTTGACATGAATCTAGTTTTGTCATGCAAAACTCATTAAAAACAACAACAAACACTACCTATCTATTCAAACTTTTGCATGGATGAATGATGTCTTTATCACTAACATTTAACGTGAAATAAGCCATTTAAATCATTTTCATCCCTGAGGTGCCCATTCAAACCTAACGGTATTCTGACAGAGAACAAAGCCAAACTGAGAAAAGGCTCCCACTACAATCCTACTAGTATATCAAAACCAGGAAATATAGGCCATTTCCTTGCATGCATCTTTAAAAATTAAGGAGTTTACAACTGAAGTAGTATAACACTATATCAGTAGATTCTGGACACCCCACTTTGTCTTTGATACTAGTGCAGCATTTTTTGTTATACCTCCACAATAACTGTACTCACTGCTATCATGAAGTTCTCTCACTCAGTCACAGCATTAGTGCCAGGCTAAGATTTACAGAGGGATTTAGAATGTCTGGAAAATTAATGTAAAGCTAAAATTTGACTGGTAGTGCTGACAAACCTTATACTTGTGTGGTGTTGCAATGGGTGGCATATTCAGATATCTGATGGAAGAGTCTCACTTGAGAGTCAATTCAGGATTCGAAAGATGCCTTTGCAAGCAGAACATTATAGCACCTCCAGAGAGGACTTCCTAGTTCTTCATTTATAAACCCAGTTTCCAGAAGATTACATTTAGCCGTAAACTCTCATGTAGATTTGAAACACTGCCTAGTGTTAAAATCCTAACCTAGAAGGTTTTTTTTTTAAATAAAGAGGAGGAAGAGCTTGAACATGTGTTGTAGAGAAACAAGACAAAATAGGAATCTCAGTGGCTTAACAATATTGCTCTGCTTGTAATCACTCAAAATGCTTTATTTAATAAGAATACATCTTGTGTCCTCCGCATGCCAAATTAGTCTCCCAGCAAAATCTATAAACAAATCACTCAAAGTCACTCTGGAAAGTGCTGCTGGTCAGGAGACATGGATTAGCACACTGATCTGCTTAGCATGAGGCTAGAACCCAGACCTTTGCAGGCAGACATGGTGCTGGGACTATAGTGGTGCAGTGGGAAACAGTCACTTGACAATATGGCTGCCTTCAGTCCAGCAGCTATTATAAGTACCGGGCAATAAGTATTCTATAAAGTCAAAGCTTAGGACCCTAATTGGCCTCAGTTTCCAGAGGATGTGGAGCTATAGATTGGAAGCTGGCTGAGAAGAAGGAAAGAATGTGGGTGTGGATGTACTCTCCAACTACTCTGAGAATTATTTGGCAAAGACAGTCTCTCTTTTACTTAAGAAAGCCTGGCTTGTTTGTTTGTTTGTTTATTTGGATGCATGAGTATCCAAATATCAACACTTGACCTATATAACAAGGGCCAAACTCTGTTTACTATTCCCAATGAAACTTCTGCTAGCAACATATGTCCTCCCCTCATTGGAAAGAAACTGGAATCTAAATTTGGACACATTGGGACTTTTTCACAATAGAACAGACACAACCCTGGTCACCAGCCATATTTATGGAGTGGGCAGTTTTGAAAAACTATTCTAAGTAGTTTCCATAATGTATGCAAAATGCCAGTCTGCTCTTCTGAACATTAAGATTCAATCATATGTTGAATCTCACATAGATCTACTTATTAGTTTTTTCTAATGTAGGCCAATGTGAAAATATTTTCTCTCTGATCC